GTGGGGAAGACGAGTCTGACCGCCATCGAGAGCACAATCCAGGGCGATCCGGGCACTTGTTTCGTACTTCAACTTGAGTGGTTTCCTGTGTGTTGATGACAAGTTGGCGCTGAGTTCTGAGAATAGAGTGATGATGCACTCGTTCCGCGCTGCCGCGCGCAATCTCCCGAGACGCGCCGCCGCCCATCTCCGCGCCGGCGCCCATGTCCGCGTCCTCTCGTCGACGGCGGCGGCGCCCCGCCCGGCCGCCGCCGCCGACGCGGCCCCGGCCCACCCGGACCCCGTGCTCGGCCAGTTCACGGACGCGTTCCTCGGCGAGCTCGACGGCGCGTCCAAGGCGGCGTCGCCCGAGGAAAGCGCGCTCCTCCTCAAGGACCTCGTGCGCGCGGGCCACCTGCGCTTCACGCGCGGCCGCGGCGTCCGGACCCGTCGTCGACGTTCGAAACCCGTCTCGCGCGTAGGGACATGCAGGATCACCCGGAGAAGTTCTTCCTGGCGCACCGCCTCCTCACCACGGTGGGCCTCTCGGGCTTCGGCATCCGCTTCACGGTGCAGTTCAACCTCTTCGCGGGGTCGATCCTCGGCCTCGGCGGGCCGGAGCAGGTCGCGCTGCTCGACGACATGCAAGAGCGCGGCGAGCTCGGCTGCTTTTTGCTGACGGAGAAGCAGGCGGGCGTGCTCAGCGGCCTCGTCGTCGAGACGACGGCGACGTTCGACGAGTCGACGTCCGAGTTCGTTTTAGCGACGCCGAACGAGGCGGCGCACAAGAACTGGATCAGCCAGGGCTACACGGCGGAGCACGGCGTCGTCGTCGCGCGCCTCTTGATCAAGGGCGAGGACAAGGGCCCGCACGCGTTCCTCATGCGCCTCCGCGACGCGGCGTCGGGCGAGCCCATGCCCGGCGTGTCCGTCGTGGACATGGGCCTCAAGACCGTGGCCAACGATTTGGACAACGCGGCCTTTGGCTTCGACGGCGTGCGCCTGCCGCGGACCGCGCTGCTCAACAAGTTCTGCGACGTGGACGCGGACGGCGCGTACGTGCAGACGACGGACGAGAAGATGCGCATCGAGGTCATCGGCCAGCGCCTGATGACGGGCCGCATGGCCATCGCGGAGGCCGCGCTCGTCTTCGCCAAGGGTTTGCACGCGAAGACGCGGGCCTACGCGGATTCCAAGGTCTGCAACGGCTTGGCGGGCGAGGTCATGCTCTCGGACATGCCGCAGCTCAAAGCCGTGCTCGACGAGTCCGACCGCGAGCTCGACGCGGTCGTCGCCTACTGCGTCGCCGTCGAGGCGGAGCTGTCGCACTGCCTGCGCACGGGCGCGATCCCGTCGGACCTGCTCGTGGAGAAGATCGCCGTCGCGAAGATCAAGGCCATCGACGTCTCCGTGGACCGCGTGCACAAGCTCCGCCTCGAGGTCGGGTCCTACGCGCTCATGTCGAACACGGGCTTCGAGCTGGCCGACATGCTCCTCTGCTGCAAGTTCGCCGAGGGCGACACGCGCATCCTGATGCAGAAGATCGCGCGCGACCGCCTCAAGAAGCTCCAGAAGGACGGCCTCGCGGGCCTCGCGGCGGGCGTCTTCGACGAGGAGACGCGCGTCGCCTTCTCCCTCGCGCGCGTGTTGCGGGCCGCGCCGGACAAGGCCGCGGCGTGGAACGAGCAGTGGGCCGCCGTCTACGAGCTCGCGGACCTCGTCTGCGCGCGCCACCTCGCGTCCGCGGCGCCGCCGCCGGGCTTCGACGCGCCGGGCTTCCAGGAGCCCCTCGTGGACCGCTACCAGGACCGCAGCGACCGCGGCCAGCTCTGAGGACGTCGTGCGGCCTAGGCTAAGTTTCTTTTGCTTCGACGGGGATTCAACACAGGACATTAGCTATGGGACTCTCTCGATGTGATTTTTGAAGGGCCGCGGCGGATGTGGTCGGCGCGGCCCGCGGAAGTCGCGGCTTCTATATGCAGGCGGGCGGGCGAGCGGCTGTGGTCGATGATCTCGCCTACGCGAGGCCGTAGTTGAAGTTCGGGCACTCCTCGGCGTCCTCGCGCGCGCGCGTCTGGATGTCCGTGTACTGCTTGTTCGTCACGGCGAACGCGGAGCCGCGGATGCGGCCGCCGCGGTGGAGCGCGAGCTCGTCGTCGACGAAGCGGATGTCGAGCGTCCGCTGGTGCGTGTAGAGGCCCGCGTCCTGCATGGGCAGCACCCAGGCCGTCGAGTCGCTCTCGTTGTGGTGGCTGTGCCACCACCCGGGCGGCGTCACGAAGACGGCGCCCGTGGCCCAGACGCATTTGATGGGATCGATGATGTCGCCGTTGCCGTCGATCTCCTTGCCCATGAGCGTGTAGACCCTGCCCGCGGGCCACTCCGCGTGGACGGCGAGGTCCAGCGCCACCGAGTTGTGGCGGTGGGGCCGCTGGACGGACTTGGGGCCGATGGAGTTGAGCAGGCTCCAGAGCGTGTGCGTGAGCGTCTTCGTCGTCTCCTCCGTCTTGGCGTTGCCGAGGAGCACGCCGAGGCGGTTCTTGTGTTCGGCGCCCGGCGCGTGGCGGATCTCCTCGACGGTCTCCAGGAGCCGCTGGCGCGTGAAGAGCGTCGGGTCGAACTTGGCGACCGCCGGCGCGACGCCGAGGTAGTCGAGCAGGGGCTGGTCGTGGATCCAGTAGAGCGCCGCGCCGTCGTGCGCCTCCGCGGCCGAGCACTCGTGGACGAGCTGGCCGTCGGTCTTGGGCACGACGAAGAGGTCGCCCGTGTTCCACGTCACGCGGCCGTGCTCGGACGTCGTCGAGCCGCCGCCGCGGATCACGTAGTAGGCCTGGGACGTCGCGAGCGCTGCCGTCGAGATGCGCTCGCCGACGAGGACGCGCACGTACGACGCCATCAAGTTCGGGCTCGTGCACGGCGCCGCGCCGCCGATCATGGACGACAGGTCGAAGGGGATCACGCGCGTCGGGCCGGCCTCGTGCAGCGACGCCGGGTGCACGAGCACGGGGATGGCAGGCAGGTCCGGATTCGCGGCGGCGCCGTATTCGTAGATCCGCGCGGACGACTCCCAGTCCTCGGAGATGCCCTTGTCGCAGAGCATGCCGTCGGAGACGACGTGCGTCAGGCCGCGGGGCTCCTCGTCGTCCTTCTCCATCTGCTCGAGCGCGAACAGGCCGCTTGTCGAACTCGCGCGCGTCATGAGGTTCGTGCCGCTGTCGCTCCGCACGGGAGCGACGTGGAACGTGCTCATCCTGTGGCGGTTCTTCGATGTCGGGCAACAGCAGCGGAGCCTTCTTCTCGAGATCTCGCGGTGACGAGGACGCAGCTGGGATCAGTCCAACGGAAATTGCACCTTTTGTTTTGTGGCAACATCAACGACGGGAAGTTGTCCTTCAACATGGTGTTTACACGGCCTTCTTAGCCCCGCCGCCCCGCCTCACGACGGCCTCGGGCATGACCGCGGCCGCCGACGGCCCGAGCCCGCGCACCGCGAAGCCCGCGGACAGGACGAGGAGGCTCTCGACGCACGCCGCGAACGTCGACCCCTCGGACCACGCCGCGAAGACGAGGAACAGGAAGACGAAGGCGCCCGCGAGCAGCACCGCCGCGCCCGCGACGGCCGCGTTGACGAAGCGCGGCCCCAAACCCGCCCGCTCGAGGCTCGCGTCGACGATCTGCCGCTCGACCCACGTCCACGCGCGGTCGAACTCGTCGGCGTCGACGACCGCGTCGAGGTCCGCGTCCGCGTAGGCGAAGATCTGCGCGAGCTTGGCGTCGTCGAGCTCGGGCAGCGCGGCGACGGCCGCGAGCTCCCGGATCTCGTCCGCCGTCACGCCGCCCGAGTTGTTGCCGTCGAGCGCCGCGAACAGGCGCTGCGCGTCGCTGAGCTCCGACGCCGCGGACGCCTCCGCGGCCTGGATGAGCCCCGTCGCGCCGTCGACGCGCTTTTGCGTCGCCTCGCGCGCCTTCGAGTAGCTTTCGAGCGCCTCGGCGACGCGGCTCCGGAGGCGCTCGTAGATGAGGTTCTCGTGCTTCTCCGCCGCGGCCGCGAGCTGCTGCCGCAGCGCGGAGATGGACGTGCAGAGCGTGAAGAAGGCCACGGAGCGGGACGAGAGCTTCGCCGGGTCTAAGATCGCCCCGGCGAGCAGCCACACGGCGACGAGGAACGCGTAGAAGAGGACGAGGAACGCCGCGCCGACGCACAGCACCGCGAAGACGAGGCGCACGCAACTCACCAAACGCTCCGGCGCGGGCGGCAGGTAATAAATCCCGTCGCCCGCGTAGTGGAAGTACACGCGCGCCACCGCCGCCAGGAAGTAGAGCCCCGCGTAGGCGGCGACGAATGCGGACGCGAAGACGCGCGCGTCGCCCGAGAGCACGAAATCCTCGACCAACGTCGCGTCGTAGATGGACCAGAAGCGCTCCGCGCCGTCGCCGACGACGGCGGCCCAGAGCTTGCTGTGGCGCAGCTGCAGGTGCATGGCCACGGAGCAGAGCAGGACGATGGGCACGACGAGGCACGCAAAGTGCGCGACGGCCGTCAGGACGTGCTCGACGTAGAAGGAGCCCGACAGCTTGAGCTTCTTGCCGCCCGCGGCGAAGTTGCGCAGCCGCAGCCCGTCGACGCTCAGCTTCATCTCCGTCTCCACGGCCAGGTCGAACTCGTCGGCCAGCCAGCCGAGGTGCTCGCGGAGGTCCACGGCGGGCAGCCCCGCGTCGCGCCGGTGCGCGTTGAACTCGCCCACGAGGCCCTTGCGCCGCCCCAGGGCGCCGTCGCCGAGGACGACGGGCTCGCTGCAAATCCGCAACACCCGGTCGCCGTCGGCCTTGGCCGCCGCGGGCTCCGTGCGCTCGGCGAGGAACGCGCGGACCGCGGCCGCGTCCTGCGAGGTCGCGACCGCCGGCGCGACGTCCTCCAAACCCTCGAAGAAGGCCGCGCCCTGGGCGAAGATCGTGCCGTGGGACACGAAGGGCTTCCGCGAGCGCTTCGTCGCGGGGATCCAGGCTTTCTTCCACGCGCGGCCCCGCACCTTCGGCATCCGATGCACCTTGAAGCGGAGGTCGTGCGTCGCCACGAGGTAGCGCTGGAGCGACGGCCGGTCGACGCCCGCGTCGCTCAGGTTCTTCTTGAAGCAAAAGTCCGTGTGCGCGTGCACGAAGGTCCGGAAGCACGTCCGCGACCTGCGCGGAAATCTTCGACCCGACTTCAACGTGCGCGCACGCGACGGTTTCGTCCCTTCGGATGTGCTTCGAGACCTCGAGGAGAGCCATCGATTCGTCCAAAAATCACCCGAATCGACTCGGCCGAGCGAGAGAATTTTCAAGTTCGGCCCCGGCTCGCCGGTTGATTGGCGCGCGGTCCGCGACGGCCGCCGCCGGAGGTCCCGCCGCGGCGACTCGTCCGCCGGCGCCACCTTGCCGCCCCCTTTGCCGCGAACTTTCATGGCGTCGGCGTCGAGGACGCAGCGCATGCGCACGAACTTGGCGCGCGCGTCGATCAAAGACCGGCGCAGCGGCGTGACGACGGCCGTGTCGACGGTCGCGAGCGGGCGCATGAGGGGCTTGACGAGGTCGAGCAGGAAGACGACGTCTTTGAGAACTAAGCCCTCGGCCCATGTCATGATGCCGCCCCAGTCCTGGAGGTCGCCGCCGTCGCCCTCCTCGTCGTCCGCGACGACCGCGTCCGCCGCGACGCCCAATTGCTTCAGCTCCGCCTCGGCCGCCGCCGCCTCCTTCGCCAGCGCCGACGCCTCCTCCTGCTCCTCGCGCTGCGCCGCGGCGTCGGCGTCGTCCGCCGCCTCCTTGAACGCGCCGGTCTTCCCATCCTCCGCGTCGTCCTCGTCGTCGTCGCGCGCGGCGGCGGCGACGTTTTTGGCGGACGTCTTCGTCAGACGCATCTGGATCTTCGACGACTGGTCCGCGAGCGTCTGCATGGCGCTGAGGTAGCGCGACCCGACGACGAGGGCGTAGAGCGTCGCGAAGAACGCGAGGGCGATCGACGCGTAGAACGCGTGCCAGCCCCGTCCCCGCATGACCGTCCGCGAAAAGTCGGCCGACGCGTAGGCGCCGTCCGCGTAGGCGTACGCGTCGAGGCGGGGGCGGTCGAGGAGCGCGTTGCGCTTGCGCACGCGCACGAGCTGGCCCTTCAGGTAGGGCTGGCCCGACGGGGTCAAAATCTTCGCCAGCTCCTCGTAGACCTGCCCGCGGACGTCGGCGTCGGAGACGCCGGCCGCGGAGCACGCGTCGCCGTTCGTCAGGCGCACGCGGTAGCGCGCCACGCGCGGCCGGATGACCTCGAAGCTCAGCGCCTCCAACGTCGGCGGCGGCAGTTCGAGATAGACCTCGTTGGACGCCCAGATCCAGCGGTCGCCGGGCCACGACGGCCCCGCCGGCACGTCGATGACGGCGAAGACGTCCGACCGGGCCAGGAAGGCGCCGTAGCGCTTCGCGATCTTCTGCAGCTTGACGACGTCCTTCTCCAAGAGGTGGACGCCGGGCAGCGTGCCCTCGGCCGGCGCGACGTAGCGCGTGCCGTTGACCGCGTCGCCCATCCTGAAGTCGACGCGGAGCTCGCCCTCGACGACGTCGACCGTGTACGCGCGCGAGACGCCCGACGACCCGTCCGTGCGGTTCGCGCGCGTCGCCGCGAGGTGGCGGTAGGCGTAGGGCGCCAGCTCCGTGTAGTTGGCGTCGCCGAGCGCGCTTCCGAGGCTCGACGCGGCCATCTGCGTCAGGAGGGTCCCGTCGCCCGCGTCGAAGACGACGGCCGCCGCGGACGACGCGGAGGAGTAGCGCGGGCAGCCCGACCCCAGGCACGCGCCGAGCGCGTCGACGCCGGCCTTGAACTCCGCCTGCGTGACGTAGCCGTTCGCGTCGCCGTCGTAGTGCCGCTGCGCGGAGGCCGCGGACGGCGCGTCCGCGGCCTCGGCGACCGCCGGCGCGTCGGCGCCGTGCGCGAGCGCGAAGCACGTCTTCTTGTTGACGCTCCGGTAGGCCACGGCGAGGTCGTCGACGACGTCGCGCGACTCGGCGATGGCCACGGAGCCCCGCGTCGACTTGACCCGGCAGGATCCGCCGCCCTGGCCCAGATCGCTGTCGGCGATCGCCACGGAGCCGTCCGTCGTCGAGATCTTCGCCGCGCCGGCGACGGCCACGCCCTTGAGGGACACGTCGAAGTTGCCCGAGACGTCGAGGCTCGCGAGCGCGACGTTTTCCACGCGGACCGTCAGGTGGTCCGCGGGGTCGGACCTGGGCAGGAAAAGGGTGCGAAATTCCCAACTTCAAAGGCTCCTATCTCGGTCGTTTTCCGCTCGTTTCGGCTGATTTTTGGACGAGCGATCATCTCTCGGAGCGTTCTCGAAACGTGGGTGCTGATTCCGAAACGCGCGCGCGCGGAACACTCACGTTGAAGCGACGTTGAATCACCCTTTTCCTGCCCTGCGTCGGACGCGCCCTGGCGGACGACGAGGCGCGCGGAGTCGTCCGCGACGCGGACCCGGACCTCGCAGGTCTCGCCGCACTCGAAGAAGGGCGCGTTGTGGCAGCCGACGACGTTGCGCACGATCACCTTCCAGACCTTGGCGCCGCCGCTCCGGTAGAACCAGCGCACCTCGGCCCAATGCCAGATCCAGCGCTCGACGTCGACCTCGCTCCGCGGCCCGGACTCGACGCGCACGTCGCAGCCCGCCACCTCGACGTAGAGCGCGTCGCCGCCCGTGACGTAGCGCTCCGCCGGCGTCGTCGCCCGGCTCGCGCCGTAGAAGATGATGCTGCCGAAGTAGAGCAGCGTCGTGAGCGCAAACAGCGTCGCCGTGCGCGTCATGCGCAGCCGATTCGTGCCGTCGCCGACGGTGTCCGCCGACGCCGCGGCCGGGGCGGGCTTCTTCTCGACCATGGTCGCGAGCGGGCTGCTTCGCGAGATTCGCAGCGCGCGGACGAGGCTTGCTTCTCACGCGCACAACATCGTTAAGCAACCGGCACAGGGATGTTGAACATATGCTGAAGTGCATCTTTGCCCCATATCTCATTATGGCATCGACGATGCTCGAGGCGCTCCAGACGGCTGCTTGAGGCTGGCTCGACGAGCTCTCTTTGAGCGTGCATAGAACCATGGACCGCGAGCCGACGCTCTGGGAGCGGCAGCTGCAAAAGCAGACCGCCACGGGCGTCGAGGCCGCGCTCGCGTCCCTCGAGAAACGCCCGGTCGTGGCGACCTGCACGACCCCCGCCTGCGCCGGCGAGCTCCTCGCGGCCTTCGCCGCGTCGCGCGCGCGGCCGCTGGCCTTCGTCGTCGTCCGCGCCGACGCGTTTCGCACCGCGCGCGAGCTCGCGGCGCGGCTCGCCGGCCGCGGCCCGCGCGTGCTCGCCGCCGCGCGCGGCGCGGCTGCGGCCGAGGCCGTCGCCGACGACGGCTTCGCCGAAATCGCGCGCGCGGCGCCCGACGACGAGGCCGTCGCGCTCGCGCTCCGCGAGGCCCTGCCGCGCAAGCCCGCGTCGGCGCCCGCGGGCGACGTCGTCGTCGCCGACGCCGCCTGGCTCCGGGCCGTGCTCCTCGGCGCCGCCGCGGCGGCCTACGACGGCGCCGCGCTGCGGGCCGCGCCCGCGGCCTTCGCGGCCGACGCGCTCGCCGACGACGCGGCGTCGGCGTGCGCGACGCTGCTCCGCGCGTCCAACGCGGACCGGGCGGTCCTCGCGATCTTCGCCGACGCCAGGGCAGGAGGACAAGGGTGATTCAATGTCGCTTCAACGTGAGTGTTTCGCGCGCGCGCGTTCTAGAAAAAGCATCCACGCTTCGAGACCATTCCGAGAGATGATCGCTCGTCCAAAAATCAGCCGAAACGAGTGGAAACCGGCCGAGCTAGGAGCCTTTGAAGATGGGAATTTCGCACTCTTGTCCTGCCCAGGCCGACGCCGCGGCCGGCAAACCCTGCCGGAAGTGGCTCGACGCGACCGCCGCGACGGTGCGCCCGCGCGACGCGCCGCCGCGCCTCTGCGTGCTCCCCCGGGGCGGCGCCGCGCCCCTGGACGTGCGCGGGCCGAGCCGCGCCGACGCGCCGGCGGAGGCGCCCTGGCTCCGCGCGCTGTCGCTCCGGGACCGCGGCGGCGGCGACGGCGACGACGACGCCGTCGCCGCGGCGCTCCACTTCGTCGCCGTGGCGCGGGCGCGGCCCGGCCGGCGGCCGCCGCCCGTGGTAGTGTACGTGGAAAACGGAGAACGAGCGGAGCGGCTCGCGGCGCGCCTCGCGGCGGAGCTCGCGCGGAGCGGCGACGCCGACGCCGGAAGTTTAGCGGCGCTCGCGGCCGCGGCGCGGGCCCGCGGCGCGCCGAAGCACGCCGTCGCCGCGGCGCTGGCGGAGGTCGCCCGGGGCGCGGCGGCCTGGCACGGCGGCGCGCCGCGGTGGCGCCGCGAGCTCGTGGAGATCAGGGCAGCAAAAGAGAGCGAAATTCCCAACTTCAAAGGCTCATATCTCGGCCGGTTTCCACTCGTTTCGGCTGATTTTTGGACGAGCGATCATCTCTCGGAGCGCTCTCGAAGCGTGGATGCTTTTTCCGGAACGCGCGCGCGCGGAACACTCACGTTGAAGCGACGTCGAATCACCCTTTTCCCGCCCAGGTGGAGATCGCGGCGTCGGAGCGGCTCGCGGCGGCCGTCGTCGCGACGGCCGGCTTCCCGCGGCGGTTCCCCCGCGCGGTCGTCGCCTGCGCGCCCCGCGGCGGCCTCGAGGCCTACGAGAGCCTGGCGGCGCCGGCCTTCGACGGCGGCGAGGCCGTCGCGTGCCACGTCCTCGGCGACGAGCCGCGCGCGTTCTGGGACCGGTGGCGCGCGGAGGCGTGGCTCGGCGCGCCGGCGCCGAAGCCGCGAGACGCGCCCCTCTTCCCGGCGCCGCGGCTCTTCCTCGCGACGACGCTCCGCGCCCTCGCGTCGACGGGGCGGCCGGAGGTGGCCCGGGACCTCGCGGACGCGTCGCTCGCCGCCGCAGCCGACGCCGCCGACGCGAAGGTCCTCAAGCGCCACGCGGAGGACCTCGACGACGCGGCGCCGGCGGCGTCGCCGGCGGACGAGCGGACCTGCGTCGCCGAGCGCCTGCGGGCGCTCGCGCGGCGCGCGCAGCGGCCGTTCCTGCGGCGCGGCCGCGTCGGCCGCGTCGACCGGGGCGGGAAACGGGCGCGACATTCCCAACTGCAAAGGCTCCTAGCTCGGCCGTTTCCCACTCGTTTCGGCTGATTTCTGGACGAGCGATCATCCCTCGGAGCGTTCTCGACGCGTGGATGCTTTTCCTGGAACGCGCGCGCGCGGAACACTCACGTTGAAGCGACGTCGAATCACCCTTTTCCCGCCCAGGCGTCGACGGCGCGCGCTGGTGCGTCGTCCTCGCGGACGAGGTCGCCAGGGACGGCGCCGTCGCCGCCGTCGCCGAGGTCGCGCCGGGGGCGGCCTGGCGGCCCGAGCGCGTGCCGCTCGAGCGGCTGCGCCTCGCGGCGCTCGTCGTCGCCGTCGCGGCCGAGCCGGAGCGGCCCGCGGCGCTCGACGCCGCGCGGCGCGCGGTCGCCGAGGCGCTGGAGGCGCTGCGCGGCGACGGGGCCAAAAAGAAGAAGCGCAAGCGGCCGGCGGCGATCCCCTTCCTCGACGCGCTCGGCGCCGTCGAGATAACGCGCGAGCCCGACCGCACGGCGGCGGCCGCGCTCGCCGCGCGCCTCGCGGCGCTGGACGAGGCCCTGGGCGGGGCCGCGGCCGCCGACGAATTGAGCCTCGAGGACCGCGCGGCCCTCGAGCGCCGCGTCGTCGCGCGCCACGCGGCGGACGCGCAGCGGTCCGCCGCCAAGGACCGCGGCGACGCGAGCCGCGGCTGCGGCCGGGGCCTCAAGGCCCTGAAAAAGCTCGGCTTCGCCGGCGGCGCCCGGGGCACAGCGCTCCTCGGCCTCCTCGCCGCCTGGCCCGTCGGCGGCGACGACCGGCGGCCGCTCGCGGCGCTCGTCGCCGCGGCGCCGGACGGCGCGGCGTCGCCGCTCGCGGATTTAGGGCCGGCCGCGCTCGTGTTCGTCGCCGCGGGCCTCGCGCGCGCGCCGGACGAGGCGCCGGAGGCGGCCTTCTCGTCCCTCGCGGCGCCGGCGCCCGACGCGCCCGTCGACCGCTCCGAAGCGTCGGCGTTGACCGCGGCGCGCGGCGCCGTCGACGGCGCCGCGCGCGCGGTCGCGCGCGCCTGCGCGCCGTCCGGGGGCCTCGTCGCCGAGGAGCTCTTCGCCCGGTCCCTCGCGCCCGCGGGCCCCGCGGCCGCGGTCGCGCGCGTCGCCGCCGGCGCGACGGTCGCGCGCGCCGCCACGGACGCGCGCGCGGCGCCGGGGCTGCTCGCGCGGCGCGTCGCGGAGACGCGCGACGTCCTGGCGGCGCTGGGGGCGGCGGCCGCCGCCCTCGACGCGGGCGCCGTCGTCGCCGCGCTCGCGCGCGCGCGGGACGCGCTCCCGCGGGAGGGCGCGTCGCTGTACGCGCCTGGGTAAATGATTTTCGGTGATTGAGTGCAGCTCGCCCCGGATGGCACTCATGAGCTGATTTTTAACTGGCCTAAGCCACATCTGCGGGGGATGGGTGTGCGTTCGTTTCGAGCTCGACGATCGATGCCACATCTGCTGGTGACAACGCGCGAGTCGCGGCGCGGCCGCGGGAGATTGGTGACCTTTAGTCCTTGCACTCGATGCCATCAAAGTTTGGAGTCCAGTAGTTATATATATAGTTATTCAAAGATTGCGCGGTGGTCTGCGAGCTCATCTGCAGAACTTTTAGCATGGTCTCTGAACTCATCAGCTTGGCAAGGTCAATCGAAAATTTGTTGCCAATGTTGTTATCCCCAAAATGGACGCAACGATACAGCAGTGTCAATTCATTCTTTGTCCACACTTTGCTTTTGCAGACCCGCTCGATAGTAATCAAAGCCAAGAATGCCGCACTGTGTTTCAACGAACGCAGTTGGTCCATGCCCCGATGCAATACTAGATCTTGAATAGATTTATCCATTTCAGTCTGAAATGTCTCGAGAATTTTCTTGCAGCCGAGAAACGTAGCGAGCTCGTACACTTCAGTAACCACGGTGAAGATCTCATAAGGAAAGGAAAACTGTTCGCGCGTGAGCGCGTTCGCGTACATGACGCGGCACAAAGTTTCGAGGGCCGAAATTGACGACACAGTAATAGGAATCGGTTCCTCGAGAGAACAATCACGGACCAGCGTCGAATTCGTAGCGAGAATAAGACGGTTCACACGAAGAGAGCCCGATCCATTCGACATTTCCAGCGTCAAATCCGGCTCGAAGTCAGCACAATTTTCCCACGGCTTCTTCCCGGCCCGAGGCGCCCCGGCTTTCTTCACGACCGTCTCGTTCGACATAGTTAATCTACAGGGGGCGGCGGTCGACGCGCCAGATTCTCGTCAAATATCCGACCCTCTGTGCGAGACTGTGGACTCTCGAGCTTTGGCGACCGCTCAGTCTCAGACGGGGCTTTTGCCGGGCGCCTGGCAACCTTCGTCGCAAGCGTCGTCGCACAGCTCAGCCAAATTGCGACTCGTAGCTGGTCGCGGCTTGTCGCGCATCCTCTACACCGTCGTGCGTGACGCAGGAACACGATGCTCGTCGTGCTCGCGCTCGTCGCCGCCGCCGTGCCGACGCGCGTATCGGCCGCATGCGAAGTCGAGCCGTGGAGCGAGTGGTCGTCGTGCGAGCCCAAGACGAGATTCTCGGGATGCGAGTACGCGGCGGGCGCGCCAGCGTGGCGGGCGCCGCCGGTAAGCGCCGCCGTGAATCAAAAAGCGACTCCGAACCTTCGGGGCCCGGACAACGCGGCCGCGGTAGAGAAGATGATGATGAAGATGAAACGCCAGGGCGAGGCCATGGCGCGCGCGTCCGCCGAGTGCGAGGACACGGACAACGGCGCGACGGACCGAGACGGCGACGGTTGCGCCGAATACCAGGGCAACCCAAGTTGGTGCGGCAACTACGACGACGACGACTTCTCCTCCAACGTTATGTGTTGCGCGTGCAAACCCATCGAACGGGGCCCGGCGACGTGCGAGGACGGCGACGCCGACGGCTTCGGGTGTCTCGGCGTGGACCTCGAGAGCTGGACGCCCATCGCCCGGCTCGGCCCGAGCGCGAGCAGGCCGTCGTTGACCAACGACAACTGGGGCTGGACCTCGGCGGAGGGCCGCGAATGGGCGCTGCAGTGCGCGGACAACGGCGTCGCGTTCGTGGACCTCGGGTGCCCCTCCTGCGACCCGCCCGTGGCCGCCGCGGAGGCCGTCGAGGACTTTGTCGAGACGGCGACGTGGAGGAGCGACTGGCGCGACCTCAAGGTCTACGACCACTACGCTCTCATCGTCTCCGAAGCTGCCGGTCACGGGCTCCAAATCTTCGATTTGGAGCGGCTGGACCCGTCGCACGCGCGCCACGACAAGGACGGCGACGGCTTCTACGACCCGGACGCGCGCACAACCTTCGGGGGCTCGCTCGGCTCCGCGCACAACGTCGTCGTCAACGAGGAGACGGCGCGCGCCTACGCCGTCGGCGTCGAGGGCGCCACCGGCTCGAGCACCTGCAACGGGGGCCTCCTCGGCGTCGACATCCGCGACCCGACGATGCCGAAGTGGCTGGGCTGCCTCTTCGACGACGCGTACGTGCACGACGCGCAGTGCGTCGTCTACCGGGGCCCGGACGTCGAGCACTTCGGCCGCGAGATCTGCTTCCTCTCCACGGAGAGCGAGGTGCGCATCGTCGACGTCACGGACGCGAGCGACGGCGGGGGCGACGTCACGCTGTCGCTGCTGGCGTACGAAGGCGCCGAGTACGCGCACCAGGGCTGGCTCACCTGCGACCACACGACCCTCTTCGTGGACGACGAGCTCGACGAATATTACGATGGTGTCGGGACGAAGACCTTCGTACTTGATGTCGCGGATCTGGACGCGCCGCGCGTCCGCTTCGTGCACACGGCGGACGCGGCCTTCATCGACCACAACCAGTACGTCAACGGCGCGTTCCTCTATCAGGCCAACTACGCCGGCGGCCTGCGCATCCTGGACATCTCGAACGCGGAGCTCGACGGCGGGGAGCTCGTCGAGGTCGCGCACTTCGACCTGGTGCCGTCGAAGCAAGGAAACTCGTGGGACGGCGCCTGGAACGTGTACCCGTTCCTGGCGAGCGGCCGCGTCGTCGTCAACGAGATGAACTCGGGCATGGCGATCGTAAAGCCGACGGGCTTGCTGGTGGAGACGCGGTCGCGGCGCGTGACGGCCCGGAGCGCCGACGACGTCTGCCCGAACTTGTTCCAGGAGCGCTCCTGCGCGGCGGCGACGGAACCGACGACGGCCGAGCCGACGACGGCGCCGACGGCTGCGCCCTCGACGGCGCCGACGGCTCCGCCCTCGACGGCGCCGACGGTCAAGCGACGCGCCTGGCCAAGCCCACCGACGCGCCGTCGGCCAAGCCCACCGACGCGCCGTCGGCCAAGCCCACCGACGCGCCGTCGGCCAAGCCCACGGCCAAGCCCACCGACGCGCCGTCGGCCAAGCCCACGGCCAAGCCCACGGGCCCCGCGCCGTCGGCCAAGCCCACGGCCAAGCCCACGGGCCCCGCGCCGACGGCCAAGCCCACGGCCGCGCCGAGTCCCGCGCCGAGTCCCGCGCCGGTCGGCGACGCCGGAGAGTTCGGCGAGGGCGACGGTGATTTCACGGCGAGCTGCGCGTCGTATGGGAGAAAGCGCAAGTGCCCGGAAAGCTGCAAATGGAAGAACGGGAAGTGCAAAGCCATCAAAGCTGACAAGTGCGCGGGCAAGAAAAAAAGCAAATGCCAGGCAAAGAAAGCCTGCGAGTGGGCCGACAAGCAGTGCCAGATAAAATGCCAAACACTCAAGAAGGGGAAAGACTGCAAGGCGCACCGTACATCCTGCAAGTGGAAGAACAAAGCCAAGAAATGCCGCGCGCGGTAGAAACGTAGTCGCCCCAAAACGCGGTCCTGTATGTAGAACCGATTAAACGCCGCTAAGACGCGGCCTTGGCCGAGAGCTGCTTGCGGACGAGGTCCGCGTACTCCGAACACTCCTGAAGGAGCGCGTCGTGCGCGCCGGCCCGGAGCACGACGCCGTTCGCGACGAGCGCGATGACGTCGGAGTGGACGATGGTCGACAGGCGGTGGGCCACGGTGAGGGACGTGCGCCCGACGCAGAGCTCGTCGATGGCCGCCTGGACGACGGCCTCGGACTCCGCGTCCAGGGCCGACGTCGCCTCGTCGAACAACAAGATCCGCGGCTTCGCGAGGAGCGCGCGCGCGATGCAGACGCGCTGCGTCTGGCCGCCCGAGAGCCGGACGCCGCGCTCGCCGACGAGCGAGTCGTAGCCGTCCGGGAACGCTTGCGTGAAAACGTGCGCGTTCGCGGCCTTGGCGGCCGCGACGACGGCGTCCATGTCCGGCCTCGGCGCGCCCCGGACGAGCGCCGAGTAGGCGACGTTGTCCGCGATGGACCCGGAGAAGAGCGCGGGCACCTGGGCGACCAGGGCGAGCTTCACGCGGAGCTCCGCGGGCTCGAAGTCGGCCACGTCGACGCCGTCGAAGCGCACCGAGCCGCCGGACACGTCGTAGAACCGCGCCAGCAAATGCAACAGCGTCGTCTTCCCGCCCCCCGACGCGCCCACGAAGGCCGCGCGCGTCCGCGCGGGCACGACGAGCGACGCGCCGCGGAGCACCTCGACGCCGGGCCGCGCCGCGTACGCGAAGACGACGTCCCGGAACTCGCAGGACGCCGCGTCGTCGCTCGCGAGCGCCGCGGCGACGGCCCGCGTCGGCGAAGCGCCCGTGCGGTTCGGGATGCCCGACGGGTGGTCGATGATGGCGAAGACCTCGACGGACGCGCCCAAGGCCTCCATGACGCCCGCGCCCGTCTGCGCGAGCACGCTCAGCGACGTCGTGATGGCCAGCAGCAGCATCACAAAAGCGACGAGCTCGCCCGTCGTCATATCGCCGCGAATGACGAGGAGGCCGCCGTAGTACCAGACGCCCAGCACCGACGCGTAGCCGAACGCCGCCGTCATCGTGATGAAGAGCGCCTGGACCGCGGCCTGCTCGAGGCCCACGCCGAGCGCCGCGGGCTTCTCGGCGCCGCCGCGCGCGTCCGGGTCGCCCACGGCGCGGCGGTAGCGCGCCACCTCGTAGTCCTCGGCGCCGAAGGACCGGACGACTCTCAAATTCGAGAGCACCTCCTGCGCGACGGCGCCCGCGTCCGCGAGCGCGGCCTGGTACCGCGTCGCGAGCCTCTTGATCACGGACACGCAGACCATGGTCACCATGGTCATGAAGGGCACGACGGACAGCGCGACGAGCGTGAGGCGCCAGGACGTGAGGAAGAGCAGGCCGAGGCTCACGACCGCCGACAAGGCGGACCGGAGCGCGAGCGACACGGTCTCCGTCGCCGCGGCCTGGAGCTTCGTCGTGTCGCTCGAGAGCCGGTTCAACAGGTCGCCGACGCGGCGGTCGTCGAACCAGGCGACGTCCTGCGCGAGCATGGCCCCGAACAGCTTCCCCCGGAGCCGCGCGACGACCTTCTGGCCCGACGCGTTGAAGACGTACGACCGCGCGGCCGTGAACACGAGCGACGCGGCGACGATGCCGCCGAGCTCGACGCAGGCCGCCGTGAAGCGCTTCTGGCGCGCCGCGTGGGGCGCGTCGGACCCGACGGCGTCGACCATGCGCCCGAAGAGCACGGGGAGCAGCGCTTGCGCCAAAACGGCGAGGAGCAGCGCGACCGTCGCGCCGCCCATCGCGGGCCACTCGGGCCGCGACAGCGCGAGCACGCGCGAGAAGCCCGCGGCGCGCTCCTTCGGCGCGTCTTCTTCGCCGCCGAGGAGCGCCGTCTCGAGGTCGCCGCGCTTCGTCCGCGTCCGCAGGTTCCGCGCCGCGGCGAGCGCCGCGGCCTCGGCGACTCCAAAACTCCAGCCGACGGCCGCGGCGGCGACGACGACCGCCGGCGCGGCGCGGAAGCTCGGGCGGCAGGCGAGCACGGCGACGACGGCGACCGTCGCGGCCGTCACGGCCGCCGCGCCCGGCGCCTCGCGGCGCGCGCGCGCGGCGGCGGCGGCGGCGGCGACGCGCGCGCACGCGAAGAGGACGACGACGTCCGGGTTCGACGACGTGGCGGGGTTCGCGAGGGCGAAGGCGTGCGCCGCGAACCAGAGCACGGCGGAGACGACGGCGTCGGCGCCGACGAGGCCGGCGAGGAGCGCGCGCATCGGCGCGATTGGTGGGGGCTCTACCGACGACTCCATTGCAACGCGGGTCTCTGGGCAGCAAATCAACAGATGACGCGGTCGATGGGTAGTAAGCTCAACCGATGACGCGGTCGATGGCAGAAAGCGCAGCACCTCGATGTGTTCTCTTCGACGTGGATGATGAGGAGCAGGGGATTTGAACTCGGCTCATCGACCTCACTTTCGCCTCAGCCAATCGGCGAGCGCCTTCCAGGGGGCATGGACAGCTAGCCCTTCATCCTAGCTAGCGTCGCATCGTGAGACAATGGCCCGCCTGCAGTCCTACCCGCTCCCCGTGCGCGTCTGCCTCGCGGTCCTGGACCTGTGCTGGGCGCTGGCGACGCTCGAGCTGCGGCGCATTTTCGACCTGCTGCTGCTGCTCGCGCGCGTCAAGCTCCACGGCCGGCGCGTGAGCCGCGCCGGCGCGACGAAGTGGAACGTGCTCGTCGAGTGGCGGCGCGCCGTCGCCGAGGCGCCGCGGGCCGTGGCCATCGCGCGCGCGGAGGACCGCGCGAGCCCCGCGCGGCTCACGTACGCGGAAGTCGACGCGCTCAGCGACGAGTTCGCGGAGTGGATAAAGCGAACGGAGCCCGGCGGCGCCGGCGCCGTGGCCCTGCTCATGGGCAACTCCTGCGCGTTCCTCGTCGCCTGGCTCGGCGTCGCCAAGGCGGGCCGCGCCGCGGCGCTCGTCAACTGCACGTTGCGCGGCGACGCGCTCGCGCACGCGCTCGGCGGCGCGCTGGGCGCCGCGCGCGCGACGCTCTGCGTCGCCGACGCGGACCTCCTGGACGTCGCCGCGGCCGCGCTGGGCGGCGGCGGCCGCGCGTTTGCGGTTGATGGTATTGGTGGGCCCGCGGTGAACGCGACGACGCCGGAGGCCGGCGCGGCCGCCGCGCCGCTGACGGCGCGGCGGCCCCGGAGCGGCGAGGGCCTGGACCGCCTCGACGACGCGCCGCTCCTCGACGAAGGCGACGACGCGCCGCCGCCGGAGCCCTGGGCGCGGCGCCTCTGGCGCCGGTGGACCGCGAAAGAAGCGGCGGCGGCGCCGGGCGAGCCCGGCTGGGACGACGTGCTGGCCTACATCTACACGTCGGGCACGACGGGGCTCCCGAAGGCGGCGCGGATCACGCACGGCCGCGCCTGGTCCGGCGGCACGGTCTGCGCGTCGCTCTGCCGCCTCGCGCCGGGCGACCGCTTGTACAGCCCGCTGCCGCTGTTCCACGCTACCGCGGGGCTGCTCGGCCTCTGGGGCTGCGTGCGCGCGCGCGCGGCGCTCGTCGTGCGGCGCAAGTTCTCGGCGCGCCTCTTCGCGTCGGACTGCGCGCGCTGCGGCGCCGCGGGCTGCCTCTACGTCGGCGAGCTCGCGCGGTTCGTCGTCGACGCCGCGGGCGAGGCGTCGCCGCGGTCCGACGCGGTGGCGCTGCGCTTCGCGTTCGGCAACGGCATGCCGCGCGACGGCACCTGGCGCGACTTCGAGCGCGTGCTCCACATCGAGCGCGTCATCGAGTTCTACGGGTCGACGGAGGGCAACGTGAACCTCTTCAACAACCTGGGCCGCGTCGGCGCGGTCGGCATCATGCCGCGCGCGCTCATGCCCGTCTACCCCGTCTTCGTCGCGCGGCTCGCGGAGGTCGGCGACGAGGAGGCGGCGGCGGCGCCCGTGCTGCGGCGCGACGCCGACGGTCTCTGCGAGTTCTGCGAGCCCGGCGAGGTCGGCGAGCTGCTCGGGCGCGTCGACGCGCGCGACCCGAGCCGGCGCTTCGACGGCTACGCGGACGCGGCCGCGACGTCCCGCAAGCTCGCGGAGCACGTCAAGCGGCGCGGCGACGTCTACTTCCGCTCCGGCGACCTCGTGTCCTTCGACCGCCTGGGCTTCCTCTACTTCGCGGACCGCGCGGGCGAGACGTTCCGCTGGAAGGGCAGGACAAGAGAGCGAAATTCCCAACTTCAAAGGCTCATATCAAGGCCGTTTTCCGCTCGTTTCGGCTGATTTTTGGACGAGCGATCATCTCTCGGAACGGTCTCGAAGCGTGGATGCTGTTTTTGGAACGCGCGCGCGCGGAACACTCACGTTGAAGCGACGTTGAATCACCCTTTTGCTGCCCAGGTTCCGCTGGAAGGGCGAGACCTGCTCGACGTGCGAGGTCGCGGCCGCGGTGCTCAAGGCCGCGCCGGACGTCGTCGCGGAGTGCGCCGTCTACGGCGTCAAGGTGCCGGGCAAGTGCCTGCACCTCGGCCGCTGCGGCTGCGCCGCGGTCGTGCTACGGGCCGACGCGCCGCGCGACTGGCCCGCGCGGCTCTTCTCCGCGCTCGAAACGGCGGGCCTGCCGCCCGCGGCGCTGCCGGGCTTCCTCCGCCGACGGGACGCGCTGCCCACGACGGCGACGCACAAGTACGTCACGCGCAAGCTCGCGGCCGACGCCCTCGACGGCGCCGCGGAGGGCGCGCTCTACGTACGCGACGCGGGCAACGGCACCTACGCGCCCTTCGACGCGGCCGCGCGCGCGGCGGTGGAGCGCGGCGACTGGCGGCTCTAGCTAACCCTTACGCTTCTTCTTCGCCATGACGGTGGCGAAGTCGGCGACGTCGAAGTCGACGGTGACCTGGTCGCGCGCGGGCTTGCGCTTCTTGCCCTTGGCGGTCGCGTTCGCCGGCGGCTTCGCCGACGGCTTCGCCGGCGGCCGGTCCGCGGTGACGTCGACGGAGATGGCGGCGCCCTTCTTCGCGGCGCCCTTCTTCGGCGACACGGGCACGTGCTTCTTCGGCGGCGGCGCGCGCTTCGACGGCGGCGGCGGCCCGCGCTTCGCCGCCAGGGCCTCCGTCCGCTTCGGCGGCGGCGCGTCGGAGCGCTTCGGCGGCGGCGGCTCCTTCTGCGAGTGGATCTGTCGATATGGCCTCGGCGGCGGCGCGTCGGAGCGCTTCGGCGGCGGCGCGTCGGAGCGCTTCGGCGGCGGCGCGTCGGCGCGCTTCGGCGGCGGCGCTTCGGAGCGCCTCGGCGGCGGCGGTCGCGGCGACGGCGGGCGGCGGTCGCCGTCGCGCGGCGGCGGCGGGCGGCGGTCGCCGTCGCGCGGCGCGGCGCCCTCGGGCCGGCGCCGCTGCGCCGGCGCGAGCCGGGAGACGGCGACGGCCTTGGGCCGGCCCTTGAAGGTCCGCCGGCCGAACTCGACGTCGTCGCCGTCGGCGACGTTCGCGTCGAGGTCGCTCACGTGGACGAAGACGTCGCTGGAGCCGTCCGCGGGCTTGATGAAGCCGTGGCCCTTGCGCCGGTCCAAAAAGACGACGGTGCCGCGGCACCGCCCGGAGGCCGCCGCGGGCGCGGGCGCGGGCGCGGCCCGGGGCGCCGCGGGCGCGGGCGCTCGCGCGGGCGCGGCCCGGGGCGCGGGCGCGGGCGCCCGCGCCGACGGCGCGGGCGCCGGAGCCGCGGGCGCCGGGGCGGCTTTCGGCGGCGCGGGCGCCGGGGCGGCTTTCGGCGGCGCGGGCGCCGGGGCGGCCTTGGGCGGCGCGGGCGCCGGGGCGGCCTTGGGCGGCGCGGCCCTGGGCGGCGGAGCTTTCGCGGGCTCGTCGCGGCGGCCGTCGCGGCGGTCATCGCGGCGGTCGGGCGCGCGCGCCGCCGGCGCGGCGCGGTCCGCGGGCCGCGGCGACCGCGACCGCGACGCGGGCGCCGCGCGCTTCAGGCTCTTGCGGGGCCAGTTGGGGTAGCACGCGCCGTCGCCGGACGCGCGGACGGTGTAGGTGCCGTCCTTGTGGACGCGGGAGATGGTGCCGACCTGGACGGAGCGGTCCGGGAGCTTGAAGGAGACGGCGTCGCCCGCGGCGAGAACCTGCAAAAGGGGGCGCGTCGGCGCCCGCGCGCGCCAAGCATAAACGGCGGTCGCTAACGTCGGGCCGAATCACGGCGTCGCTCCACTTGCCGTCGACGGCGACGCCGTCGAGATCGCGCGCGAAGGACGCGAAGGACGAGCCGCCGGAGATGTCGCTGAACCGGCTCCGCGCGCCGCCGTGGCAGCGCGCCAACGTTCCCAAGGACGGCCACTTGTCGCCGTGCTGCGCGTGGTGCTCGAGCAGAGTCCGCTGGCTCACGCCGAGGATCGCGTTGGCGCCGCTCAGCGTCCAGGCCGCCGCGCCGTCCGGCGCGGGCGTCGCGAGCAGCTCGAGGAGCGCGCACTCGATGACGCGCGGCCGCGTCGCCGCGGTCCGCAGCTCCGCGTCCGAGAGCGCCGCGAGCGCCGCGGCCTCGCGGCCCATGCGCGGCGCCGGCGCGGGCGCGGGCGCGGGCGGCGGCGCTCGCGGCGCGGGCGCGGGCGCTGGCGGCGGCGCTCGCGGCGCGGGCGCGGGCGCGGGCGCGCGGCCGAAGTTGTGGCCCTTGGCCGGCCGCGGCGACCGCGACGGCCGCGGCGACCGCCGCGACGACGACGACGACGACCGCGGCCGCTGCGACCGCGGGCTCCGGCGCCGGGGCGACGGCGACGAGCTCGCCGACCGCCGCCGCCGGTCCGACGGGCTCCGGGACCGCCGCCGGTCCGACGGGCTCCGGGACCGCCGCCGCGTCCGACGGGCTCCGGCGCCGGTCCGACGGGCTCCGGGACCGCCGCCGCGGCGAGCTCGGCGATCGCCGCGACGACGCGCTCCGCGACCGCCGCCGCGACGCGCTCCGCGACCGCCGCCGCGACGCGCTCCGCGACCGGCGCCGCTGCGCGGGCGACGCGCTCCGCGACCGCCGCCGCCGGTCCGAGGGGCTCCGCGACCGGCGCCGCGCGGGCGACGCGCTCCGCCGCCGGTCCGAGGGGCTCCGGGACCGGCGCCGCGCGGGCGACGCGCTCCGCCGCCGGTCCGAGGGGCTCCGGGACCGGCGCCGCGCGGGCGACGCGCTCCGCCGCCGGTCCGAGGGGCTCCGGCGCCGATCCGCGGACCGGGACCGGGACCACGCGCGCCGCTGCGGCTGCCGCCGCGGCGGCGCGGCCGTCACGGCGGCGTTCGGCGACGCGCCGTCGACGTCGAAGGCCGCGTCGCCCCGGAGGAACTCGTTGAAGGAGAGGCCGCCGGAGAGCTCCGTGAACTGGCCCTTCTCCATCGCGCGGCGCCGCGCGCCGTGCAGCCGCCGCGTCTCGCCGCGCCAGGCCTTGGGGTCGTTCATCACGCGGAAATAGACGTCCAACAGCTCCTCGACGGCGGGGAGGCGCTTCGGGTGCGCGTCGAGGCGCCGCCGCACGTCCCCGGGCGACGCGCCGACGCGGCTCTTCAAGGCCGCCACGGTCCACGCGGCGTCGCCCCTGGGCGGCGGCGCCGCGAGGTACGCGAGGACGGCGTTCGCCAGGCAGCGCCGCACGCCGTTGAGCGTGAGCTCCGTCGTGCCCAGGATCCGCGCCGCCTCGGCGTCGGCGAGCGCGATCTCGGCCGCGTTCGCGGCGACGGCCGCCGCGCGCGCGTCGTCGCGGATCGCGCGCAGCCGGTCGTCCTCCGCGCGCCTCAGCCGCGCGGCCTCGGCGAGCTCGCGCGCGGCCTCGAGGGCGACGGCCTGCTTGTCCTGGAGCGCCGCCTTGAGCGTGCCCATCTCGGCGGCGAGCGACGCGGCGATGGACGCCGCGTCGATGGCCGGCGCGGCCTCCTCCGCGGGGGCGGCCTCCGGCGGGGGCGCCGGCGCCGCGGACTGGGCGTCGCCCTCCTCCGCGGCCTCGAAGGGGTCGTAGGCCGCCGCCTCGAAGGGGTCGTAGTCGTCGTCCATCGTCCTTTCCACGACGGCGCGGAGCTAACGCGACGCCGAGGTCGATGCCGAGCTCCTCGAGCGACTGCAATGTTGAACTCGTTGCACTTCTCAGCCACTGCAAGCAGCGATGCGCGGCCTCTCTAGGCGCGCCGCGCGCATCGTCTGGCTGCTGGCCGTAGCCGACGGCTTCATGCAATCAACCTTTAACACACGGTTTGCAAGAATCGGCCCCAAAAACGGCGTCCGGCGCCCACCCACGCCGGCACCACGGCTGCGCGCCGCCGAGGGCGCCGCCGAGGTGGTCTCCGGGACGCTGTCGTCCATCTGCATGATCTTCGCGACGTGCGTGGAGCCGGACTACCTGCAGCCCTGGAGCCAGTACGCCGAGGAGGACGTCACGGGCAGCGGCTTCGTCGTCACGGACGCGGCGGGCGGTCCGCGGATCCTCACGAACGAGCACGTCGTGCGCCACGCGCGCGACGTGCGCGTGCGCCCCCACGGCAGCGCGCGCAAGTTCAAGTGCTCCGTGGCCTACGCGTCGCCGGAGCGGGACCTGGCGCTGCTCCAGGTCGACGACGACGCGTTTTGGGAGACGACGCTCGCGGCGCCGCTGCCCTTCGCGTCCGACCTCCCCCGCCTCTTCAGCGACGTCACGGTCGTCGGCTACCCCATGGGCGGCGACAACGTCTGCGTGACGCGGGGCGTCGTGAGCCGCCTGGACGCGATGGCCTACGGGAGCGGCCGCGGCGAGAAATTGGTCGTCGTCCAGATCGACGCGGCGATCAATAGCGGCAACTCGGGCGGCCCCGCGCTCGACGGCGAGGGCAACGTCGTGGGCGTCGCCTTCAGCGGCTTCGCGGGCGAGGCGGACAACATCGGCTACGTGATCCCGGCGTGCGTCGCCGAGAACTTTCTGCTCGACGCGGCCGCGGGCGGCGACGGCGAGGTGTGCTCGCTGGGCCTCGCGGCGCAGCCCGCGGCGAACCCGGCGCTGCGGCGGCGGCTGGGCCTCGTGGACGGCGACGGCGGCGTGCTCATCACGCGCGTCGCGGCCGGGTCCGCGGCGAAGGGCGCGGTGCGCGTCGGCGACGTGCTGCTGAGCGTCGCGGGCTCCGCGGTCGCCGACGACGGCACCGTGGCGCTCCGGGGCGCGGAGCGCATCGACGTGAGCCACGCGTTCACGGCGAAGCGCGACGGCGACGTCGTCGACGTCGAAGTGTTGCGCGACGGCGAGCGGGTCAGCTCCGCGGTGCGGCTCCACCCGCTGCGGCGCCTCGTGCCCTTGCATCCCCGCACGGCGTCGCCGACCTTCGCGATCCTCGGCGGGCTCGTGCTGATGCCGCTCACGACGCAGCTCGTCGACGCCGTCGCGCACGAGAACGACGTCCACGTCGAGTGCGGCGTCGACGGCGAGGCCTACGGCGACGCCGGCGGCGCGTCCGAGCCAGTGTGCAAATCAACCAGTGAGCTGGGACGTCCTGACCAAACTTCAAACCTCTCTAGCTCGATCAAATCAAAGTCGATTTGGCTAATTTTTGGACGAATCGATTGCTCTCGTCGAGTTCTCGAAGCACAGCCGAAGAGCATATGTCGAACTATTCGAATACGCTCACATTGAAGTCGGGTTGAAGATTTGAATTCCACACAGGTCCGAGCTCGTCGTCTGGGCGTCGACGCTCACGTCCGACGCGAACTACGGCTACGCCCACCTGTCCGCGGCGCTGCCAAGGTTGGTGGCCGTGAACGGCGTCGCGCCGGTCTCGCTCGCGCACGCGCTCGAGCTCTGCAAGGGGCTCCACCGGTCCGGCGCCGAATTCTACGACCTCAAGTTCGCGGACCCGGGCTCCACGGAGGCGTCGTCCGTCGTCCTCGACATCGACGACGTCGACGACGGCGACCTCGACCTCATGCTCCGGAACAACCTCCCGGACCTGTGCTCGCTTGACGTCGCGGACGCGTACTACGACGCGCCGCCCGTGACGCGGAAGCGCGAGCCCAAGAAGCGGCGCGCGGGGAGGCGCAAGCGGCGGTAAACATGCGGTGGTGTAGAGAAGTGTGTGGGTGCCGATGCAATGTTGCACCGCGACTTTGCAGCAACTTTGTCAGGTTGAACATCTCGCCTCGGCGCGCGCCAGCGAGCTTCACTTTATCGAGTTTATACAGAGACATCGCGTTGCCGCGCGTCGGCCACCTGCAAGCCGCCCGCCGGCCTGGGGAAAAAGAGACGCCTCTCCGTTCCCGCGAAACCGCGCCGAAGCGCCGAAGCGTTCAAAGCTCGGAGAGCGCCATGGCCGCCCTCGCCGACGACGAGTCCAAGCTCCGCGTCGTCATCGTCGAGGGCTTCCTCGCGAAGCACACGGCCGTCGGCAAGCGCCTGCGCTACTACATGTCGACCTACGGCCGCCGGAAGTGCGGCGGGTGCCGCGTGGTCGAGCTCGACTGCGCGTGCGTCGACTGCACGGCGCAGCTCGCGCGGGTCCTCGCCGAGCTCGCGCGCGAGCGCGACCGCGGCGGCGAGGACGTGGACCTCGTCATCGTCGAGACCGCGGGCCGGGCGGACCCGTCGGTCGTCGCGGAGGTCTTCCTCGACGACGCCGTCGCCGCCGTCGCGTACCTCGACGGCGTCATCACGAGCCTGGAGATCGACGTCGAGGCCGACGTCGACGTGTGCCTCTTCCAGGGCTGGATCGACGGGCTCCACGCGACGGCGGACCTCTTCCGCGTCGAGGCCGAGGTCGCCGTCAGGGACGTGCCGGACCGCTACGCGTACCGCGCGACGCGGCGGCCGTCCGCGGGCGGCTACGGCGCGCCCTGGGGCGACGAGGCGCGGCGGTGCCGCGTGCGCGTCGTCGGCAAGGACCTGGACCACGGGCGCCTGCGCGAGACCTTCGAGGCGTGCCTCGCGACGCGCGCCAACTATCGGCGCATCGTGAAGCGGTTCCGCTTCCGCCTCGGCGACGCCGTCGAGTGCTTCCTCGGCGGCGACCAGGCCTGGGGCCGCGGCACCATCGTGAAGCACCTCTACCAGGACCCGTGCTGGCACTACCCGCCGGGCTTCCTCGCGCCCTACCAGATCGAGCTCGACGACGGCCGCCTCATCTACTGCCCGGCGGACAACGCGGGCCTCGTCCGCAAGGCCGCGTGCCGCCGCGCGGGCTCCGTGCGCGTCTGCTCCGCGCGGCGGCGGCGCCGCGCCCAGTCGTGAGCCCCCCCGGCTGCCGCCAACCGGGATGAGCAGACGGATAACCTGCATGATAGCCAGGAACCACACTGGTGGTCAAAAGCCCCCCCCCCCCCCCGTTAGATCTCCGCGCAGCCGTCGCGGTTCCGCTGCTCGCGCGGGCAGCGGCGCCAGTGGTCCTTGAAGAGGAAGTCCTCGCGCTGGCACTCCGCGAGGGCCGCGGCGTCCCTTTCCGGGTCGTCGACGGCCTCGGGCGGGAGCCGCGCGCGGTCCCGGTGCCGAGTCGACGCGAGCTTCGTGAACCAGTGGCCCTCGCACGCGCCGCCGCGGTGGCCGCCGCCGGCCCAGCCGTCCATGTACTCGAGGCAGCCGTCCCAGGAGCAGCGCGGCGGCCGCGCGAGCACGAGGCTGTAGTTGGCGCCCCGCGGGTCCGGCGCGAGGACCACGTTCTCCTCGACGATGACGTCGAGGAAGCACGGCACGAACGCCGCGGGGACCACCAAGATCTTGTCCGCGTCGGCCTCGTGGGGCACGAGGCCCCGCGCGTCGTGGAGGTTGCCGTCGAGCACGCACGACGCGTCCCAGTGGTCCTCGTGGAAGACGTAGTCCCAGCGCAGCACCAGGACGAACGCGTAGTCGACGCCGTTGCGTCTCGCGTGGTCCCGCGCGAGCGCCACGGCCGCGTGGCGGTTCCGCAGCTGGGAGAAGGGGTGCCGGTCCAGCGGGTCCTCGCGGGCCGACCGCAGCACCGGGCCGTACCACGACCGGAGCGTCTCCGTCGCGTTCGACACCTCGGGGTCCGCCGCTTCCGTGTTCGTGCACGGCCGCGTCGCCGAGAACGCGTCGACGGCGTAGCCCGCGCGCCGGAGCACCTCGAAGAAGCGCACGTGGGACTCGTAGATGACGCGCTGGTGCCGCACGCTCAGGGCGCAGCACGTGCCGCGCATGTGCTGGCCCCCGACGTTGCGGAACGACTCGCCGCGCAGCACGACGGCGACGCGCGCCGGCGTCGACGCCCGGTGGGACCGGAAGAAGTCCTTGGAGCACTCCCGGCGCTCCTTCCAGTCGATCCTGGCGAGCGTGCCCGCGAGCAGGGCTGCCGCGAGCACGAATCGGGCCGCCATCGTGATCAACCGATGCGGCATCTCGGGCTTGATGCACTCGACGCTGATCGACGACGCGATGCCCAGCAAAGTGGTGACGCGCGGCGCGGCCGCTCCGGCCCCTCGCAAACACTGGTGACGCGCGGCGCGGCCGCTCCGGCCCCTCGCACACACGAACACCATGGTCCCGAAGCGGCTCCAGGCGCTCTTCACGACGCTCTACGGCGACATCGCCCTCGACGAGCTGCCGCGCATCATGTGGCTGAGCGCGCTGCTCTGCTGCATCATCGGCGGCTTCTGGCTCCTCGACTCCCTCAAGGACACGGTGCTCGCGACGACCGTGGGCCTCGAGCACCAGCCCAAGGCCAAGGCCATCTCCGTGCTCGTCACGCTCGTCGTCGTCGCGGCGTACAACAACGCGATCAACCGCGTCCGCAAGCCCGTGCTCTTCTACCTCCTCGGCGCCTTCTACGGCTGCGTCTTCGTCGTCATCGGCGGCGCGCTGGCCCACAGGCGCATCGGCATGGAGAACACGACGCCGGACCCGAACCGGCTCATCGGCTGGCTGAGCTACTTCGCCATCGAGTCGTACGGCTCGCTCATGGTCGCGCTCTTCTGGGCCTTCACGAACGCGACGATGGACCCGGCGACGGCGGAGAGCGCCTACGGCCTCGTCGTCGCCTTTGCGCAGCTCGGCGCCATCTTCGGGTCGACGCTCGCGACGCAGGCGAAGACGCTCCACATCTCGTTCCTCTACGTCGTGGGCGGCTGCACGTGCTGGGCCGTCTGCGGCATGGTCTACGGGTACGAGTCGCTCTTCGACGTGGACGACGCGGCGCCGGCGAAAACGCCGCCGCCCGGGAGGAAGCGGCGGCGCGAGCCGTGGTGCGCGTTATTCTTCGACGGCTTCTCGCTCATCGCGCGCCACTCGTACGTGCTGCTCCTGTTGGGCATCTCGACGCTCTACGAGGTCGTGCTCACCGTGTTGGACTTCGAGATGAAGATCATCGGCCGCGCGCGCTACGGCGCGGACGCGCGCGGCGCGGAGGAGTTCGCGCGCCTCATGGGGCAGTTCGGCGTCGTCGTCAACACGACGTCGTTCCTCTTCTCGCTCCTGGGCTTCTCCTACGTCGTGCGGCGGCTGGGGCTGCCCGCGACGCTGCTCGTCTTCCCGCTGCTCTGCGTCGTCGCGACGCTCGTGGCCTACGCGGCGCCGTCGCTGACGTCGCTCTTCGCGATGACGGCGCTGTTGAAGGCGCTGACGTACTCGCTCAACGAGCCCGCGCTCGAGATGCTCTACCTGCCGACGTCGACGGACATCAAGTTCAAGGCCAAGGCCTGGATCGACGTCGTCGGCGCGCGGTCCGCCAAGGCCGCGGGGAGCCTCATCAACAACGCGGTCCAGAACTCGGACTATTTGCGCGGGTCGCTGCCGCAGTACGGCAACGTGCCGACCTTCGTCGTCTCCCTCGTGCTCCTCTTCGTCGCCGTGCGCATGGGCATGGCCTTCGAGCAGCTCCTCGACAGCGGCGACGTCGTCGGCGACGCGCCGGACGCCGAGGCAACGCGCGGCGGCTACGAGCTCGTCAAGGCCGAGCCCGCGGCGGACAACCCGTGGGCGCGCGACCTCGAGCGGCTCCACAGCCTCGACGACCTCCGCCCGGAGAGCGACGAGAGCGACGGCGACTCGGAACTGTAACACGTTAGGAAACGAGATCGCACTCTATTCAAATCGCGACGCAGAGGTACTTGCAGAGGTCGGGCGACTGGAGCGTGAAGCAGCGCGGTCGATACTCTGGCCATGTTGACTTCCATTTGTTTGAACTGCCTTCCAATCACTGCGCCATGTTCGGAGTTTGGGCAGGCCTCTGCCTCGCGGTGGGGGCGGCGGCGCGCGACGCCCCGGTGGCGCGGGAGACGGACTTCTTCTCAGCCTGGCTGCGCCGGAGCGCCCTCTTCGACGGGAGCAGCCCCTGGGCCCCGGGGGACGCCCTCTTCGACGGGAGCAGCCCCTGGGCCCCGGGGGACCTGCGGCGCGACCTCGCGACGCTGGCGGCCCCGGAGCACCTCGCGGCCCTCGTCGAGAGGACGGAGGCCGTCGACGTGCGGGACGCCGAGGGCGCCAAGGACGAGGCCCTGCGGTCGCGGCTGCGGAGCGCGGACGACGTCGCGGCCGCGCTCGACGCCGGCGCGTCGGTCGTCGTCAAGCTCGAGAAGCTCTTCGTCGACGGGGCCTGGGCCGCCGCGGTGCCGCCGCGCGGCGCCGCGGCCGTCGTCGAACTGTCGACGAGCCTCGCGGCGTCCCTGGGCCTGGCCGCGACGTTCCACCTCTAC